TCTTCCTAATATTTCTCTTTCTTACCCAAAAGACAGCATACATATATACTGTTCTGCATCTTGGTTATTCCCCTAACAAGTTACCTTGTACTTTTCTCCCTATTAGCTGACTGACCTATTCTTCATTAGTTAACCAAATATTCTCTATAGTTCTTTATAACAGAGAGTAACAAAAACTCCTTTCCTTCAACCGGAACTAAACCCATGCCTTCCTGCTGGTCTGAATCAGAGACCCTGTGCCATGCAGTACAGCTGGACATTGATGCAAGATGAGTCTTCCTGAAAAATTAGCTCTAAATATTTTCCCATTTCATAAATGTTCAGTAACTTCCACTTATGTATTGTACAACAATCATATTCCTTTGTCTATTAGTGTTCTGGCTCAAGTTTACCTTTCCAGTCCTATTTACTCCAAACCTTTATTAGTAGTGTTTGATATGTGAGGCCTGCTTCAAAAGGACCATCTAGACCAGTGAGAGACTTTCCCTATCCCTCACAGCAAAATTCTGAGTTAACTGGACAAGGAGTTGTAATTAATGATGACTAGCTAAAAGGTTGCTTAGATTTGGAGTTGGGAGTGGCCATGAAGGAGCTGTGTACACCCTAAAGTCAGTGTATGTCCTGACTTGTTAGCTTATTCCAGATTCCTGAGATCCTTTTTGTCTTAAAAAAAAATCCTCTTTTTAGCTTTAGTTTGCAACCAAAAGAACCCTGACTGATAACATTTAAGGCATGGGTGGGAAAGTAGATCACATGGGATGGAGACAGAGGACAGAAGAATAGGAGAAAACCCAGTGGAAAATGGTGTTACAGAAGACAGTGAAGTGCAGTGTTTTCAGAAAGAAGTGGTAAGATGTAGTAGAAAGCTCAATAAGACTGAAACAGGTCCAGTAGATCTGGTAATTAGGTCAATGGCTACCTTTGCAATAAAAGTTTCATGGAGGAGGCAAAAATTAAAATGTGTTGAGACATGAATGGGAGATGAGGAATTGGACATAGTATAGACTACATTTTTAGGAACCCCGACTGAGATGAGAAGGGCTACAGGTAAGAGTTACAGGGAGGATTTTTTTTTTTTAATGAATAAGGCCTAAGTACATTTATATGCTTTTGGTGAGGAAAGAATATAATGGGAGAGATTGAGAAAGACTTTAATTTGACAGAATTTTCTGAAAAGAAAGGAGTGGGGGATGGAAACTAAAACACAACTAGAGGGATTTGCCTTTCATGTCCTCTAAGGATTGTATAGTACAATAATAATACTTACTACATGCCAGGCATTGTGCCAAGCACTTTAGATGTGTTAACAGATTTAGGACTAGATGGAGATCATGAATTTGGGAATGAGGAGTTGAAGCAATGGCATCTGAAAATAAAAATTATCTCTGTAAATATGAAGATAAGGCTATGTACTAATAATCTACTAAAAGTGAAGGGGAAAGAGACGTAGGGAGCTTAAAAAGTGGTGGGGCACTTTAAAAATGGTAGTGCAACATAGGGAGCTTAAAACGTGGTGGGGCACTTTAAAAATGGTGGTTTGAAGAACAGAAGAGGAAGCTATCCAGAAACATATACAAGTGTTTTTATATAGTAGTTCAAATGATTGTATCACTTTCTCCAGCAGTACTCAAATACACTAGTGTCTGAACTCAGCCAGACTAGATTGACCTAAGGTTGGAAGTCTATAAGTAGAGTGGGATAGAACGACAAGAGCTCAAGGAAGTTAACAGCACTGGCAGGTTGAAGCGATTCTCAGTAGGGTTAGATGAGATATAAAAAGAAGAAAAGCCAGGAGGGGATAATGATGGATAGGAAAAAGTAAAGTAAAAAAGTAGGATAGAAAGATTATAAAAAGTTCATTGACTCTATACTCCACTCCTTTCTGAATATACAATTAAGGCAGCAGGTTGCCACAACTCAAGAAAGCCACCAGATGAGCAAGCTCCATTATGTTTGAGCTCAGGTATTTCTTCTTCTTCTTCTTCTTCTTCTTCTTTTTTGAGTTGGAGCCTCACTCTGCCGCCCAGACTGGAGTGCAGTGGCACGCTCACGGCCACTGCAGCCTCGACCTGCTGGGCTCCGGCGATCCATCTGCCTCAGCCTTCCAAGTAGCTGAAACTAGCCGGGTGCGCACTACCACACCTGGCTAGTTTTTGATTTATTGTAGAGACCAGGTCTCGTCAAGTTGCCTGGGCGGGTCTCAAATCTGCGGGCTCAGGGACTCCACTCACCTCAGCCTCCCAAAGTGCTGAGATTACATGCTGAGCCATAGGTATTTCTTCTTATAACAGAGTCCTCAGGCAAGACAGATCCTTGCAAAGTATATAGTTCACAGACCAGCATCATAAGCATCATCTAGGAGTTTGTCAGAAATGCAGAATTTTGGGCCCCATCACAGAACTATTAGGTCAGAATCTACTTTTTAATAAAACCTCCAAGTGATTCATATACATGTTCACTTTAACAGGTACTGGGATAGACAGATGAGGAGTGTAGATGCACTCTGGGTTTATTTGTCATAATTCTGTTCATAGCATGCTGGGAGAAATAAGGAGCAGACATTCAGTCAGTTATATTATCTAGCACCCAGACTCAATGTATTCCCCTTTTTATCTATAATTTAACTCTCCCCAAATGTTTTTAATCCTTTGCACTAACTGGTAATTCCATCCCAAACCCCTGGTGCTCTCTTTTATGGGCTCAACAATGTCAAAACTCTATAGTATATTCTCCCTCGTCACATTTATCTCTTAACATCTTGCTGATCAAAATGGGTTCTTTCTGATAATCTAGTCCTGTTGGCATAATTCTACAAATTGAACTTTCTGTTCCTATCAATAGAATATAACAGACACAACATTTCCAAGTGAACTCACCACCACATAAAGAGCTTCATACATGACGCATCTCAAATACATATTACTTAACAATTATCCTCCTGATCAATATAACCCGCAGCTCCCCTACCTGTGATCCTGGTCCTTCCAGATTCTTCTCCTTACAAAAGAGGAGGCTGCTTCTGCAAGCCTTTCTTTCCACATCCAGCAGCTAGCTGTGTTTGTTTAGATTTGTAGCTGTGCCTGGGTGGGGCAAAACCTACCTTGACTTTCAGGATCCCTCCGCCTGCCCTCATGGTTTCCCAATCAGCATATCACGGTGTCGTACAAGATAAACCATAAGCTCCCTTTTAGTTTTAAAATTCTTTTATTTTATGTCCTGTAGCCAAACTTCCTCTGCATAGAAACATACAAGAAAACCAGCCTGGGTGGAATGAAATGTAGTTAGTACCAAAGGCCATGTAAGGATTCCGCTTGGGGGTCAGCGTCAGAGTGAAACCGAGTCTTCTCGAAAGGAAGCTGCTGCCAGCGATTGTGGTTTTGAGCTCCTTTTCATCGCCTCGTCCATGCAAAACCAAAACAAACGCTTCAAAAGGATCGAAACCACTCCGGAGTCTGAGGAGACGCCCGAGGGACTGCCTCAAGTTCACAGGGAGCCAGTTCCTGAAGATGGGTTCAGGGAGCAAGGTAGGTCAGCACCCTGACCCCAGACACTTGTGGGCGTCATGCCGTGGACACTGGCGCGTTTTTCGGGTCCGAGGGTGCTTCCTGTGACCCAGGCTTTCCCACTCCAAGAGCAGAACCTCGCAGGCCTGTGCTTGTGAGCTGCCGCCTCAGGCAAAGTCTGCCCAACGGAGGGGCACGAGCCGTGGCCCCCTCAAGCCTTGGGTCCCTTGATGCCTTGGTTCCCCTTGAAACTTCAGGCCTCACTCAAGCCTCAGGCACCCCTCAAGCCTGGGGTCCCCCGCAAGCCTCGCGTCCCCTTCAAGCTTCAGATGCCCCTCTCTAACCCCGGGTCTCTCTCAAACCCTGATCTCTCCAAGCCTCGGGCACCCTGCAAACCTTGGGTACCCTTCAAACCTGGGTCTCCCCTCAAACCTCGGGTCCCCCGCAAGCCTCGAGTCTCCCAAACCGTCCCCCCAACCCTCGGCCCTCCCCCAAACTTCGAGGCCCCTCAAGCCACTGTCCCCTCAAGGTGCGGGCACACCTCAGGCCTCGGGCCCCCCTCAAACCTAGGGCTCCCAAACCTCAGGTACCCCTCGAGCCTTGGGCACCCCTCTGCCTGGGGTCCCTCCTCAAACCTCGGGTCTCCCGCCAGCCACGAGTCCCTGCGAGCCTCAGCTCAGGTCTCCCAAACCGTGGGGTCCCCCCAAACCTCGGGGCCTCCCCAAAACCCTGGGCCCCCCAAACCTCACGGCCCCTCAAGCCTCGGGCGCCCCTCAAGCCGCCGTCCCCTCAGGCCTCGGGCCCCCCTCAAGCCGCTGTTCCCTTAAGCCCCGGGCCCCCCTGAGGCCTCGGGCGCCCCTGAACCTCGGGGCTCCCTCAAGCCGCCGTCCCCTCAAGCCTCGGGTCAC